GGTGGACTTCTGGGAGTTGAAGTCCACCCATCTTAAAGTTGCTGAGGTTGAGGAACCCTGCCTTAAATCACTATAATAAACTAACTTTCCACATATGGTTACTATGCCTATATTTAATAATTTCCCTACCTGCCATATTAAAAAATGTAACTGAATAGTAATTTGGGACAGCCTCTGGGCACATGCAAAGGGTGGGGGGCAAGAGCACATCTGGCCCCCAAAATCCAGACAGTGACCTCTGATCTAAAGGACTCAGCTTCTTCCTTTGCCTGGCACAATATTACCTTGATCTGAGCTATTTGGGTCCGCTTTACTACTAAGACACTGCCATCCGATATCCATTGCAAGCTAGACATTTGTTAAAGAATGAAAAAGAGCCTTTGAATAATACAGGATAACTCACACACCTATCACATCCCTTCCTTTTAGCATGACTGTGTCATAACAAAACTCCTTTGCAATGATAGATGGGCACACCTATTCCCAAGACAAAGGAAGGCATGACTAAGGAAATGTATTTTTTCACTGTGAAATGAAGTGAGGAAAGAAGATACTGATCACGCACACATTCTTCAACAGAAAATCTTTAAAACAATTATATAAGAAGCAGAATTTCAAAATTTTTAATAATAATAAATGATAATTATTATTGCCTTACCTTCTGCAGTGATCTTATTTTCCCACCTATAGCCTAAGCCCTAGATGCATCAATAAAAGCTTTTCAATTCCCTGATCCTTGAATTTTATTTGTTATAACTTTATAAAAGAAAAAAAAATGTTCCTCTATAACAGAGATACATTTACCTGGACTTTTGAAGCTCTTTAAAAAATGCTGGATGTCAACATTAATTATGAACTTTAAGATCTTTATTTAAAGAAAATGATTATGACAGTTTTCACTAAAACGCTATTAGTGCAAGAAAAGGCTATCTATAACGAAGGAGAAAAGATGTAAACACACCTAGAGGAAAATGAGGCCACCACAGAATAAATTGGTTTTGTTAAGATTTGCCCTGTAGGCACATTTGAAGATAACGTGAGAGCTGACAGCAGTAAAATTTTATTGTGATAATTGAAAGCTATATTGTTCTCAAATAATCAAGTGAAGATTTGGAGAGATGAGAACAAGCATTGTTTAATTTTATTTTAGCTCTGCTTTAGCCTTTCTGAAAGCCCATGCAAATTTTCAACTCCCAATGCCTAGTTTGGGAGCCTGTAACAAGGCTTTTAATCAATGTATTACACATCAAATTGATAATGCTAACTTCTGATTATTCAAATGTATGAAATATTCATAAAGAACTGTTCAAAGTTTTACATTTTTCTGATTTTTTCCCCTCCCTCTTCCATTAATTATCATGCCTAGAAGCACTTTTTTATTTTTTTTTCTAGCAAGAGCACCAGTCGTCATCTTGAATCAACCTGACAAGCTAGCAAGAGCCAATTACATTGGCACTCGGTGGCACTTTGATGTAGTGGAAACGAAGAGAGATAGGGGCAAATTGTGTAGCACATTATGTTAATGACATGATTTAATCCAGCCACTAAACTTTATGTAGCCTGCTAAAAAAGATGCTAACACTAATTACGCCACTTTGGAAAAGAAAAAGAAGGGGACAAGCATTTCCTACGGATGAAGTGAAGCTCATAAATGTTGTAAACGAAATGAAATAAAATGAAATAATCTATGATTAATTATTCATAATAGACAAGAAGAGATCGTGAGAGGGAAGTGGGGGAAAAAGAGCAATTGTAAAGCTAAATTCTGGGGGAAAACATGTTAAGCTTCTTTTTATGATCAACAGATCTAAAAAATAATCCCCAACTATCTAATTTGTAACCTTAAAAAAGGAAGGGCATAATCTTAAATGGCTTAAAAAATGTGGTGTGTTGTTTGAGATTCACGAGGTAATTAGCAAGGGAATCTCTCAATATTTTTAGGGTTTTTTTTTTTTTTACAGTGCCCTTATAACTAGGACCAAGAGCATCCATTAGATTGAGGCAAATCTATTACCAAATTAACTGGATGCCGAAATCAAAGATGAGCTCAGCTGAAGCAGACTAAATACAAATCCGAAAGTTCCCAAAGCTTGGTAGCAATTCATTAGAAAGGAAAATACAGACATTGTGCCTGCAAGAACTACACATTTCTTCCCAGGCAGAGAAAGGTAAAGAGTACAGACAATTCTGGCTTGTAATCATGAAAGATTCTAATCATTGTGAAAGGTTTTATCAGAGCTCTTCAATCACAGTGCTATGTTGAAGCAATACAGCATAGTAAAATATTTCAGGATTGTTCCTTTACTCAGTGCTCTGTGTTAGTTCTCTCCCTCCCAGAACAGGATTTTTAAGAATCTGGGGAAAGGACTGGGTGCCAACGGAGCAGGCGATAAACAACAAAAGCCTTGACTTCTGTTCTTTTATCATACTCCGGCCACCTTTGTACCTCATCTTTGGAAATTACACATTTTTTCATTAAGGGATTGCTCTAAGACCACGTTCATACGAATGGTCAAAATAACACAGAGGAAGATGTATTATTTTGAAAGGAAATATTCAAAGGAGAAAAAGGCAAATATTCCCTTTCCCAGGAAAAGACTGAAGATGCTCCTTTTGTACTAATGAATGCACTTGGTCCTCAGTGTGAAATAGCAGGACCAGAAAGACTACCCACCTTCATGGCTGCTAGAATCAGCTACAGGGAACCCTGATCATAGACGTACTGATGGGACCAATTAGACTGGCAAAGAAAAGAAACAGCACCTTTTCTTCCAGTGGTCTCTTATGTGCAGAATTTCTTCCTTTCCAAAATGCAGTTGGCTCCTCCCCTGCATACCTAAGTAGGCCATATGGCTACATCTTGCATTAGATGTATGGTCTGATTTTAGCTGAAGAAAATAGGTGCCAGTCTAAATTGTTTCTCTTCTTGATATGGAACAATGAAAAAGCCAACAACAATACAGCTAGGATGGTTGGGAGAGTTTTAGATTGCTTTTTAGTCTCAATGTTTTAGATACTGGTGTTATTTGTAGATGTTTTTATAGAGAATGTATACCACCTTGGGACAATGTTTATGTTTCTAGAGGTCTTAGACATACATAGATATCCTTGGCACTCAGAAAATACTTACAACCTGAACATTAGAGTTCTGGTCTGTAGAAAGCACTGTTGGACTGGAGTTATTAGACTCCTCTCCCCCTTAACTCAGTAAGACTTCTTGCTACATTGAGCCTGAGTCAACGATACTTAAATCTTATTGATTTCAAATGGAGAGCTGAAGCACATTTTTCATATTGACTCACTAAAATCAATGAGACTTAGAAGTGGTTAACTTTGGCTGGATTATTCCCACTAATTTGAAGCAAGTCCCGTGAGTTAAGGGGATTTACTTTCATGTAATGCAGTCCTTCTTCCATCAGTTGCTTAAACACACAGGCACTCTATTATGTGTAGGACCTTCTCTATTCATAACAACATCTTATGCTCATTGTTTGCAAAAAGGGAGAGACGTCGGGCCCAACCATTAATTTAATGCTTCTTTGTACACTGGTTTTCTCCTGACACAGAAGCAAGTGAAGCAGTTATGGATGCCTGATCAGAGATTTTTCTCTTCCTGGCACTGTCCCAACCTTTCCTTGTAAAAAGATGAATGGAAAAAGACAGAAAGATCCTCACACATGAGCCTTTTTGAGTCTACAAGGTATTTTAAGTCTTCTTAAATCATTCTAGTTATAATGGAGTGCAACAATACTAGAGATCTGTAGCCCCAGCTGTGTTTCTGCAGGCCTCATTGACAATGAGTAATTTTCCTATTTGGCTTGCATTGCTGTGGCTTAAAAGAATCGGATGGCACCGAAGATGCCGTTAATCATAATACGGTTCCACCTATTAAAATAATATTGTTGCTGGGGGAGGGGTTTTCCCCTTTTTCTCTGCTTTGGGTAGATAGCAACATTTCAAAATCCTGACCAAGTACAGTAAAGAAACAAGAGTTAGTCAAGTAAACAACAGTGCTTGAAGTAGACTGTTACCTTCTAAGATGCATCATCTGTTTATTTTAAAATCAATACCTTCATCATATAATCAGGCTGCTACTGTGGGCACTTTGGAAGGCTGAGATATTTCAGGCCAGGATTCCAAAAGAAATGTGGCAGCGTGAAATGAGTTAATTAACTGGGATCACACAATCCTGAATAACAGTAGGTCTATATTAATTCTAAACCTGCGTTAACAAAATACATTTGCTGGGCTCACATAATACACACAATGCCCAAATCAATAAAGAAATCATATAATGGCTTACTTTAATGGGCTGTTTCCCACAGCACACAAAATCAAGGGTTAGGTCCCTACAACACCCTGAACCACACTGCCCAATCCTATCAGAGTCTAGAACAGTGTTTCTCACCTTGGCAACTTTAAGATGTGTGGACTTCAACTCCCAGAATTCTCCAGCCAACATGCTGGCTGGGGAATTCTGGGAGT